CCCCCCCCAGGACCCCCCCGGGTCCGCCCATGAGTAGCAGACAACTGATGCATTTATCAATTATGAAATTTTACTTTTGGCTTAAATTTCGGCACAATGAGTGATCATATTAATCTTCGAAAGGACGGCTGATCTTACAATCATCTTGATCTATGACCATCCTTGCCAATTTGTTTTAGCAAGTGGAAAGCCTATAGAGAGGAACGATGTACAAAATCTATGTAGTTTGCAAGTAAGAAGCTGAAGCATTGTAAATTTTAACGGATATATTCGAATTTGGTAAAAACTTCACTAAAGGGATTGTCAATCATTATCCAGAAGAAAAGTGTCAAAGAACAAGTAAGAAAATACAAAGACAGAAACCAACAATAACAACAGACTTCAATGTTGACAGTACTAATTGCGATCGACGTATTATTGAATCTTGCTGCTAACATATCTCAGTAAAGGGATTCCATATTCTTACACAGCTCCTCCAGTTTCTTCATCCTCAGTTTCTCACTTTCAGATACCAACTGGCCAATAATTCATTAGAAAAAAAAAAAGATTAAATAAGGTAAAATGATTTCAGTTATGTGTTTTTGCAAAAGCTAGGAAAGATTTACCTCCATTAGTTTGGTAATCAGCTGAGCCTTTTCCCTGTTCTTCTCGTTAAAAGTCTCGAGGGCTTCTTTGTACTCTCTTTCCTGTGGAAAAAAGGTGGACTTTTTTTAACGAAAAAGTTTTACTGGCATATAATTAACTAGAGGTCCCTTTTATCCATTGATTGAACGAGAAAAGAGGCTCATTCAGACTCACAGTTTGCCGAGTTAAAAATCTGAATCCTTAACCAAAATATATTGACTTTGAGCTCGAAAAGGCTTAATACTTCACCTTCTTCTGGCAGCTTAGTCCCAATGGCCTTAAGTCTCGATTAATCAGATCAATCTTCTTGCGTATAAGTGAAACTTCCTTCCTCATTGGATCTGTTAGAGCTTCAAGTTCCTACTAGATTAGAGTTTAAAAAACATGAACATAATTTGAATCATTTCATCAATAAAAAATATAGAATAGATACGCCATATGTAGATGAACATGATCATGCTATTCTATTATAGTGACTGAAAAATCCAATGTTAAAACAAGAATCTTGATCAAGTCACACATCACAGTATATTAGGCTTTCAAAAGCTTCGTATGGGAATCCACAAAGAAATGATCGATTAATCAAGATATACAATGAGAGTCATAACCATATGATGGACAGAAAATCATTACTGCTAAAATCCAACTTACTTCGCGAATTTCAGCCAATTTCTTGGTTTCTTCCTCAACACGGCCCAACTGAGCCTGAACTTTCCCTCGGATCTCAGTTTTCTTCCTCTCGATTTCTTCTTCCTTAGCATGGAATGCTGCAAGAGCTGATCTCGTCATCTCCTCTTCTTTTTCATCATTCAGTAAAGGACTCGCAGTATAATTGATCAATCCTGAGTTCTTCAAGCGCATCATTTGCGATTCTTGCTGCTCCAAAGTTTGTTTCTGTATTGACATAACTCTTTGTTCAAAATTGGCCTTCAATCTAGTATGCCTTTATGGTTTTGAATGATGCTTCTCTTTTCCCTGTTACAGATGCTTACCAAGGAAGACTGGCTTTAAAGGAATGATACAATGTTGCTTTGCAATGAGGGTACCTTGTGACCTTATGATGAGAAAGTTTGGGATAATTACGCTTTAGATTACTATAATATATTTCTTTTTCATCATTTGCATGAAAATTTTGTTCAAATATATTCCTTCAATTTGCATCATAATCTCTTCTTAGTAAAATCTTATGAGAGTAATATGAAAGTGTCTATATGGTCCTCTTTTGGTGAAGCAACTGTTTTCTTGAGTAGGTACAGTGGCAGATTTTGCTAACCACTACACTTCTAAAACTGGAATACAATATATTCTCCTACATAGATATCCATGAATATGACAATTCGGGAAAAAATTGCAGTCGTCGATCTCTCCCTTTAGTCCGTTTACACGTTAGATGTGCATTTTCTTTATTTTTAACAGTATTATCTCCAACCTTTATTTCTTGAACGTGTTGTCACTTTTACCGGATGTGGTCCCTAACGACGGTTCCATCAAATACTTCGACATTATCGTTCTGCAATATTTTTCTAACTTTTGTTAAAGGGAAAAGCATTATCAGTTCATAATTTTGTACTTACATCCACGACAGTTTGTGAGGATCAGTGTTGCACATAAAATTTGTTGGAAGGTCTCCATTGACATGTTTTATTTTATCCTTGATATGTGACACTTGAGCTGAAAGGTTCCGTCCCTGAGTAGACAATGTACACTGAATTAAATCAAAAGCCTTAAGGGCCAAGTCAGATATAACAAATGAAAACTGCTAGCTACCTTTATCAGTTATCATTGACCTTCATGCTTACACTTGTTCAAGGATCTTTAGAGCATGTTCTCTTTATTGTTTTCAGACCATTTTCAGTTTTCGAAAACACTGAGAACACGTTTACTTACCTATTTTCATAAACGAATTTCGAAAAACGAGTTTAAAATTTACAAAGAAAACGGAAAACGTCAAAAAATTCATTTTGGCTGTTTTCAGTTAAAACTAAGCCAAAACTTCATTTTTTCTTTTTTTTGGAAAACAATTTTTCAAAATGACAAAAAGAACGCGCTTTCAGCAATTTCAAAATGGACACTCAAAATACAAAACTAAAAATTAAAAACTGAAACACGAAGAGAACATCCCCTTAACTTTTTGAAATTTTCATTTTTCATTTTGTATCGACAACTTTATTTATTTCCTCCAAAGTCCAATTAAGAATTGATATTAAAAATTCCTCAAGAAAAAAAGTGTTATACGAAGCAATCTCATGTAGTCCGACCTTGACTTTTGCGGTAATTGGAGATGTTGAACCAAGCTCTCAAGATGTCTTGTTTGAATTCTTTGGCAGGCAAGCCTCTTCTTGACCAAGTCAATGGGAGTCTTTAACTTATCCGACATGGACTTCAGATCGACAACAAATCTATTCGATGTGACTTCAGATCGGCTACAACAACGTAAAGAATAATAGGGCGATGACCTCATCGTTAAGCTTGCAAATGAAGTCGCCAGAAAAGAAAAATTCATGTAGTTGACCTCAAATTTATTAGGACGAGGAATTTATATATTTCAAAGATAATTTAAAGTTGAAGGCGTATGTTTTTGATTGTGAATCTTTTTAATAATGTACCTTGAGAAGCGAGAACTTTTCTTGCGTAAAGGAGATATTAACTTATATTTATGCCATTCAAATGCATAATTCATCATAATTTTCCATGCCCTACCATGTCAACCATGTTCAAAAATCAAACATTTCCCTGCACCCTTTATGGAAGCACAGTGTTTTTCTAAACTTTCCATGCTCGTGTTTTCGAGTATGGTCAGACTAGCACGACAGGTGAACAGGTCGTGCAGGCCGCAGGTTTGGCTCTCGACGTGGCTTGATTTTCCTTCTAAGTCGAAGTTGAGTAAAATTTAACATCTTGAATTCAAAATCGAAGAATTTTACTTTCGGTGCTCTTTAAAATGGTTCTAACATTGATACCCATTTGAGCAAAACTTAAACCTTTCAAAAAAGAAAAAAAAAAAAAGAGACAAACAGCAAAGAAAACTAAAAAAAAAAAAGGATAAAGTAATTAAAGTATTAAAGCAAAGAGGTGAACTTTACTTCTTTGCATTAAGTGGGGGAAAAATGCTAACCAAAATATATTCATTCCATAAAAGAGGATACTTGTAAATTTTTCCACTTGAGGATAGGTCAAGTTTGATTACGTGCAAAAGGATCCACAAGGTGTTCATTGTGAGTGTGATATCACGATCATGTTTATAAATGTTGATTGTCTGAGGGCTAAAGTATAATTTAAACTCTATCAATGATTTTTTTTATATTTTTTTGGTATGTAAAGTTTAATATCGCGATCATGATTATAAATGTTGATTGTTTGAGTGCTAAAATATAATTTAAACTCCATCAATGATTTTCGTTGATGTTTAATGGTATGTACAATTACCCGATCAAGTACTAATTTACCCTTTGGTGAAAACATTTAGCTAGATGAGTCATCCCTCTTTATGGGCCCAAAGCATTATTCCTTCCTTTGATTGCTTGTGGTGTATGAGAAAGGTTTCGGTAGGACAATCATATATGCACATATGTAGGGTTACCTATTTAGATCATGTCAAATCGAATCATTTAAATCATGATATATTGGCATCTGAGCTCCACTTTATTTCTTTCTTACCACTTTGGACATTGATGTGTCATGATTTAAATGGTAAATGATAGATCCTACCAAGTATGCATATAGGACCCGTTGTAATGAAATTTTTTCTCGTGGTGTAGGGTTTTCAATCCATCTTTGGTGATGGGCTTTCTTGTGTGGCTCTAAAGCCTTCCTGGCCCATATATTGGGCCTTAGTTGGGTTAGGTGTCGCAAACATGTGCCTTCTTAACTCTATTTTGACCTCAAGCCCAGTGAAGTAGCCCATTTCTAAATCTATAAAGTTCGGACTTTTGCTAATAGCAATCAAAAGTTTAGCCCTTTTTTTTCCTCCTCTTTGCTTTGTTCTTCAAATTATCCCCAAATTAAACAAGCGAAATCCCTTGATACTCTCTATTGATTATTCAGTTTTGTCCTAAACAAACTTCCCCAGAAAGTCAATTTCCATTTCCTTTTCACGCTCTCATAACCCACCAACGACAAATAATCGTATCTCGTCGAAAAACGCAGCAAAAAACCGAAAAAGAACAATGGGATCTTCAATCCTAAAGGTTCGATGTTATTGCTGATCAAATATCAAAATCTTGTTGATTAAATAAAAACTAAGATTGGTGTTTTGGGTTCATTTTCCACTAAATATTTTGGTGTTCTATGTTTAGGTTTCTAATGCCTCAGTTCGATATTTTATATTCACTGATTATTATGTAGTGCTACATTTATGAGACTTCACCGATTTGAGTGTACAATCGGTTAAGAAGAGACGGGTGTATTAAATTTTGTTGTTGATTTAGTGGAATGACGAGAGAAAGGAGGTACGTTTTGGACAGTCGAGTTCGATCGCCATCGCCTCAGCGTCGAACACTAAGGTATCGGGATTTTTCACCGTCCCGCCGCCAGGAGTATTCCTCCCATCAACGTAACGTCGATGATTTACATGCCACGGATGGTATGCAGTATACCGAGAGGTCTAGGAGAACGGAGAGGAGGGATCATTTTGATAGAGATCTTGATTTGCAGGCTGTGAGATTCTCAGATTATCATGATAGAGATAGAGATAGAGATAGAGATAGAGAGAGGGATAGAGAGAATGATAGCTATAGGTATAAGGATGGTGTTGGATATTCTCGGAGATTGTATGGAGAGGACTCATTGATTGGGAATTCTGCTTCGATGAAGTTTCGGCAGAAATATGGTTTAGACAATCCTCGAAACTCTGATGGATTCAATGTGAAAGATAATGTGAATGACTACCGTGGTGTTTGTGATACTAGTATCACAAGGGTGAGTGCTGAGAGAGATTGTTATCCAGGGAGTCAATATTTGGATGAGGGTCGATCTAGATTGCCTGCAGGGTTGCGCTATTCGGGTGGTAGCAAACCTAGTCCCATGGAAACTGAGAGGACACAGAGCAGGTACACTGATTCATATGCTTTGGATCATGTTGGTGTTGATGGTCTACCTAAAAGTTTAGGTGGTTATGACATTGGTGCTCATCGCGTGCCATCTTCAGAATTGCAACATTTGATTACTGGCACTCATAAAGACAGTGACTTTAATCCCATAGATGAGCTTCATTTGCCGAAAAAAGGTAGAGACATTCACTCTGGGGACAACTGTTATTTGAGTAAAAAAGATGGACATTTTCATCCTGGAGATGATCTTATTAATCTGGATGAGCATGTTAGACCAATTGATAGAGAAATGTTCAGGTACAACAGGGAAGATAACCTCCAGTCTTTAAGAGGCTATTTATGGGATGATGTTGACCATACAATGTCATCATCTCGGCCCAAGGATTATACCAAGGGGTCATCTGGTTTCTCCTCCAGGGAAGACCTATATGTGCCATCGCCATCAAATGGTACAAGACTGAGGACTGAAATGACTTCCAAGACTATTGGTTGTGATGGGGGGTCTGGTGAAAAATCACAAAATAGGTCTCCCATGACTTCACAAGATATCACAAGTTACTCAAGGTCATATTTTAGCTCACTAGAGAGACATGGAGCTCATATTTATCCAGAATATGGTAGAAGCCACATGGGCTGTTCTAGTACAAGGTCCAGTGGATTACCATTTGGAAAAACATTGACGGATGTTAAAGAATACAGAAGCCAGGATACTTCAAGAACCCACTCTATGTATCCCGTAGATGTAATTGATGAATCCTCTAGAATACGTTTAGAAGATGTTGAACTTTGGAATCACCATACTTCTTCACGAGGAGAGTCGATGCATAATTATTCTGATACGCGTGGATCCTCGCACGCAAGAGAACAAGATGACAAAGTATTAGGTTGCAGTAGTATGCGCTTGAGTTATGATAGGGAATTGTATAGCAACTATGGAAGCATTGAACCACGAGAGATTCATAGTAATGAGATGGATGGTGGCCCATGGACTCATGAAGAAAGATCACACATGTTACGTCTGAAAGAATATGACCCTTGCTTGGATCAAATTGATGATAGCCCTCACATGAGGTTGGCTGCAAGGGATTTGAGTTCAGTTAAAACATCTGAGAAATTGCACAAGCATAATGTTAGTAGGAAGAGTGTTCGCAAGATTTACCATCAAGGTCATGGAGGAGAAAATGTGGTTCCTGTAAGTTTGTCATATAAATTCAAATCAAGAAAGTATGATTATGCCAATACTAGTGAATCGAGTGAGATGGCCAATTATCAGTCATCCAGTGAAAAATTCAAAGCTAATCACTCGAACAATCACCATATGTCTGGCGCTAGAGACATAAAGAAGCGGTTGGGACCACATCCTCAAAAGCTTCATGTTTCTCAACGTATAGTAAAGAAATACAAACCTTCATTGGAGAAGAGGTTGGGACCTGCTCCCAAGAATCACGATAGACTCCCATGGCTGAAAAAGTTAGGTTCCAAAAAATTTCCAAGGGTCCAAGATGATTCAGATGCTAGTCCTGATGATGTATTGGGTGACAACTTAGAAGATAATGCTTTTCCTGAAAAGCCTGAATTGCCTGAACCACCTGAAAAGTCCGATGAGTTCAAGCAGTTGGTGCAGAGTGCATTTTTCAAGTTTCTCAAACAGACGAGTGAAACGCCAACAAAAAGGAAGACATACATGGAACAAGTAAAAACTTATAGATTAAAGTGCCTCGTCTGTGGAAGGTCTGTGTTCTATAGCACGGAGCATATTCTACTCCCCCCCTTTTTGGTTGAACTTATTCTTTCTTGTTGTGCTTCATTCAAGTAAGTTTTCTGTTACTGATCTCATGTCGTTGCTTCCGTGAGGAACCACCCAATCAGGCTCTCTGTCAGAATATTTTGGTATACCCTGCATTTCATGAAGTTTTGCAGTTGTGGATGCAAACTATAGGGAAAGTATTGAGAAATTAAAATTTTAATTACTGTCACTTGATGGTGAAAGTCTGAAGTTCAATAGTTTGAACTTCGTGAAATCTGTTGCTGGGAAAGTTATGGTTACTAAACAAATTGTGTAGCTTTATGCATCCTGGCACACCTTTAGTCTGTCTGCTGCCTTCTGAGCTATACTTTGTCTTTTGGGTTATCAATCAAAGGATACCTCAAATACTGGTGTTTAAGGCTGTTCTTTACTTCAGGATGTTATATTACATTAATAAGAAGTAGAATTTTGAATTTCATGAATAATGATTAGAAGCTGGGAAGAGGTGAAGTAGCAATGAACGGAAATAGAAATATATTAACTTTTTCTGCTTGATTGATTGGGCGAAAAGAATGTCAGCAACTGAATGTTATGTGCCATAATTGCTGATTGAGTTGTGACAAACTGGTTTCGGTAGGGGAGGAGTGGAGGATTTTTTCTGCCCACAGTATGGAGAGGAAAAGCATAAAAGATCTGCCATTAATGAAATATATAGTAGGACGAGCCTAGGATAGGTGTACGCAAATTAAAAGGCCCTATTTAGTAGTATTTGGTTCCTCTACATTGGTTGACTGCTTCTACTTTAAAATCATGGTTTACCTGAGTTAGCATGTCTATGGTCATGCCATGAACTTTAATTTGATGGAATCTCACATGGTGATTAAGATAAAATTCTATATCTTTATTATATATTATATTTACGTATAAACTTCGGGATCAGAGTTTACGAGTCTTACTGAGTCATTCATTTTAAGATTCTTGTATTTGGAAAGAATAGCATGTAAAACGTGTTGATTTCATGGCTTTCCTGGTCAGTGAAAAGGATATCGGGTTAGGCAATTTCTGATGTTTTGTTTGTTCCGTAATGTTAACAATAGATATTTGGAATGGTGCAAGTACATTCACTGCTGTACCAACTGAGGAGAGGAGATTCTGATGAAGCATCCTTTTCACTGAATGGTCTTTTTGGAGAAAAAAAAACTTTTACTGAGTCAGGAATATTGACACTTTCTTGATGTCCTGCCTGACTCCAGTCTCTTCTGCCTTTCTATTCCTTTCATGCGGATAGTTTTCCCCCTGTTGGAGGATCTTCTTGCTGTAGATGAATTTTATTTATCAAATAAAATAACTTCAATACTTGTATACTTGTTCTATATATTAGTCTTTGCGTCATCCAGTAAGCATGACATAATTTTTGGATATTTTCCTCGAACTACCAAGGATGCTACTGTTGAAAGAAACTAAGTTATTTTCAAATCTTGGAGGACCCTTATCTGATATATGTGGTCCTCATCAAGAATCTATTTGGCATATGATGAATTTTGTTTTACTTCCCCTCTAATTATTATCCATTATCCTAGGTATGCTGTTTTTGTAGTTCACCTGCAAACTATTACAATATGTTCCTTTTGAATTGACATGAATTGATTGTTTTAGCTGAATGCTGTTTCAGCAACTCCGACGAGTTTGCAGACACAGAAAGTTTGGCAATGCATGCCCTCACATCCAGCAAGGTTGGCCTCAGGTCGCAACACTTGGGATTGCACAAAGCACTTTGCATACTGATGGGATGGAAAAGTGCAGAGGATTTTGGTGGTCAGTGGCTTTGCGAGGTCATGTCTGATGCTGAAACTTCATCCCTTAAAGAAGACCTCATTATCTGGCCACCTGTTGTGATCATTCATAACAGTCCTATAGGAAAGGAAAATCCTGATGAGCAGATTATTCTATCCACTGAAGCTTTAGAGTCCAAGCTCAAAGGTAAATTTCTTTATCTTGAATGATCCCTTTTCTTTAGTGTGTTTGCTCATCTTTATTTTCATTATGAAATTATGTAGTGTGTGTTTATGTGACTTCCATTTTTCCCCACTTCCCTCAACCTAAACATTACGATGAAGTTTCTCATAAGTTGTCACTGACCAGCATCTGGTCAATACAGCAGGAGTGTGCAACTGTATTATAGCACATGTATTTACATAAATGCTGTTGGTTAACTCTCACGGTTATTGTTCCCAACTCAAGATGATTCAAGAGTTTAATATTCACTTCATCTGGATAAAAATATTACATGATAATGTAGTTTAAATTTAATGATGGAATGCATAAAATCTTTTCCTTTAAACTAACACTATTTTTTATTACACATGGGTATACAGATAGACCAAGTCAGCTTAAGCTTATTAGCGTCCTTTCTTTCCATCACTTGTGAACTGCTATTTATTGTAAACCAAAAAATGTGGGAAGTGATGTCAGCTGAAAACTTTTAATTTGCGAGTGTTGGTTTTTTTTGATATTCTGTTTTTACATGGACTTATATTTTAAATGGTTTATCCTATCAAAAAATATTTTAAATGGTTTACAATTGAGTTTCTATCTGTGTGTGTATATATTTTTTTTTCTTGTAGACATGGGATTTGGGAACATAAATAAGGTCTGCATCGGTAAACCTGCAAATCAAAGTGTAATGTTGGCAATATTCAATGGCACACTTTCTGGGTTACAAGAGGCAGAGAGATTGCATAAAAATTATCTCGAGACTAAGCATGGGAGGATTGAATTCATGCAAGTTATGTCCAGTGAGAAAGGAAGTTGTAGCGAAGAAATACAAACAGTACCCGCAGAGAATGAAGAAAAGTTCTTGTACTGTTACCTGGGACTTTTAAAGGATCTTGATAAACTAGACTTCATCACCAAGAAACGATGTGTGGTGAGGAGCAAGAGGGAGATTCAGTCCATTGCAGATGCACCTTTAACTACAAAAGGAGAGCTTAGATGATCATAGGATGTAATGCTGATGAAGTACTGATGGTGTGTTTCGATTATGTGATGGTTTGTTTTTGCTTATGTCCAGTCACTCACTGAAACTTCTTGTTTTTGGCTTCACCTACGGCAGTTGACTTGGGATCAGAACAGTAAATGAATTTTGTTTTCTTTTGGATCCCAATTCCAAGTTTCACTTGCGCTTTCCTCGCAAACATTGTGGAAATGAGAGTAGATTCTATAGACTCTCTATTATACTGGAATTTTCTTTATCCCATACTATGCTTAACATAAGCGAAATCTTATTGAATGAATTGGCGCAACACTATATGATCTTTTGTCCAAGTGTGTCTTGTCTTCACCACGAATCATTTCCTTAATTAACAATAATTGTAGTTTTCCAAATGTAACACATTCAAATAGGAAATCTTGAAACTTATTCAATTTGATAAAATCCATGGACATTTTTGGTGGACATTATGTGCTTGTCAATAGGTGAATTGGAGGTTTGGGCTCCATAAGGATTTGGTGATGTTCATATTACACAAGACATGCTCAAATAAATTATGTGATACTATTGTATCACATATAAAAAGAGTTGTTGTAGAAATTGTTCTCTCCATATTTTTGTAATTGCTTAAAAAATGAAAGTTCTCTAAAAGAGAATAAGAAGTCGAACCTGTAATTTTCCAAGCGCTAACAAAAATGTGATTCATGAAATGGAGGTTAGAACTTTATCGTAGAATACTCACAAGATTCGAATTGTTCTTATCTATCAAATAAACAGAGGTGAATCTTTTATTAAAATAAAATTTTCAGAAGTATCTTATTTATTGATATGATACAAAATTCACCAAGACAAAAAGAACAATTATACATTGAATAAGAAATCAAACCAAGGCAGAACTACACTTGTATCAAAAGCAAACCAAAGGAAAAATGAAGTAAACAGTTTGTTTTATCCAATCTGCTTAGCTACCCCTACTACATAGCTGATATACACTTAAACTGTATGGTATAAGCCTAAAGATCTTAAAAATCGCCCCCTGAAAGTTCGGATTTCTCTATCTCCTTTGGAAGTTAAGAAACTTGATGCCATAGGCAAACACAAAGAAAAAGAGAAGCACCCAACCAACATGGGCGAAAACCACTGGTATAAGGAAGTCATGATCATATCCCAAGTCGTCTTTAAGGAAATCATTAATCTTTACTCTACGAATGTCGCCAGTGAGTACTAGTTCGCCGGTCTGATCGCCTATCTGAGACGCGAAAACACCGTAGATTGTCCAGGCAACAGGAGAAGCCCAGTAGTACCACCTCCACCAAATTGGGATAAGCTGCAAGAATTTGTACACCAGGTTAGTATTAAATTATTGAAATATCTAGTTTTTATAATCTTAAAAGTTGTTTCGTGTGGTGGAATCAGAATACGTACTGGACGGGGGATGAGGAAACCGGAGAACAAGTTCCAGAAGCTGAGAAAGAAGGACATAACAATGGCAGCAATTTGGTAGCCAGGAGTCAATGCAACAACCATCATACCGTACATTGAGAAGTAGGTGAAGCACATGAATATGAAGTAGTAGAAATAGAAGAACTTTTCTCCAGTCCAGTGGTATCCAATCATGGAGTACAGAAGTAGAGAGTAAACAAAGGTCTGAATTGCAACATAGATAGTCTCTATAGCCACCTATAAATAGTGAAAACAAGTTAAAATTGCAAGATAAGTAATAAGATTTGAGTGATTAGTTAAAAATTAACTTAAAAACCTGTAGTGAAATTTTCCATTTCATACCTGAGCAAATGCATAGGGCAACTCTGAGTACATTCCTGCTGCTCTTTCACGGTAGAATACCGTCCTTTCAATTGCTACAACAGATTGAACCGCAGAAGCATTAGTGGCTCCCAAGAAAAGAACAGCAGCATAAGTAGCTCCCAACAGATTGAGCAAGTCTTGTTGTCTATTTCTGTTTGAAGTACACAGAGAGTTAGATTCAAGCTCTTTGTTAGGTAATGTCATATATATATGATTATAAAAACAGTTTAAAGATGTTTAGACCAACTACTTTCTTTAGAGTTCAATAACTAAGCAAGCTTCAAAGAAGGAAATGTTGGACTTACATTTTATCCCCTTTTTGCCAAAAGATGATGCCAAATAAAATTCCTATGATAACTGTTGTGAAGAACCTAATTGCATTGTACTGTGAGTTCCTCCAGTATGACCAATGTTGTTTCCAGAAGCAAGCCTTGCACTGAATCAAGAAGGACTGGGAATATTGTGTAGGGAAGTAGAGATCCTTCGAGCCTGGTGCCGGAGTGCTAAGTTCCTTTATTAAATCTTGGTTCCTCCTGAAATTGGAAAATTAAGAAAATGGTCAACAATTTGTACAACATTAGACAACATTAAGGAAGAAAAACTGTACCATCATGTCTAATACTATATACCATGCCGTATGATACTGTGTCATCTATCACTCACCCGTAAAGATCAGAATTGGCATAAATTTCTGCAAAATCAACATCAAGTTGAGCCTCTGCAGCACTGGAGCTGACGTCTAACATCCAAGTCGCTGGATTGTAACCCTCCTTGATCTTGGGAACTCCAGGTATACCCTGCATGATTAAATGGAAGAAATCATATATCAGCTTATCGGTTAAAGGATAATAAAACTTTATTAGCTTGTGAATGAGTTTTGACTAAATAAAACAGCAGCAAACTCAAACGCAAGAGCAAAACTCACCTCGAAATATTCGACAAGCTTATGGGATCGGCGACCAAGAGGTCCGGCATAAATAACTTGACCTCCTCTCTTCATCAACAGTAGCTGCAAGGAGAAATCAATATATGCATGTCAAATAAAATGCAGCTTCATAAGGGTCGAGGGTTTAACTACTGAGACTATTTACAAGTGAAATATACCTCATCAAAAGCTTCAAATATGTCGATGCTAGGCTGGTGAATAGTGCAGACCACTGTTCGGCCTGTATCCACCGTGTTTCTCACTGTACGCATGACAATTGCAGCAGCTCTAGCATCAAGTCCGGAGGTGGGCTCATCCATAAAGATTATGGAAGGATTGGCAACTAATTCTACAGCAATAGTGAGCCTCTTTCTCTGTTCAGTCGAAAGACCGTCTACTCCTGGAAGTCCAACAAGTGCATTCCTCAAGGGATTAAGCTCAACTAAGTCCATTATCTCCTCAACAAACATCTGAAATGAGAAAATCTCTGTCAGACAAAAATGCTTATGTATGGTTTCTATGATATACCATATGTATCTCAGACAATGTTAATCGGTTACATGCCTTTCGTGTTTCTGTCTTCACGTCTGCAGCAAGGCGTAGCCAGGCAGAGTAAAGGAGTGACTCGTATACAGTGACATAAGGTGAATGGATATCGTTCTGTTCACAGTAACCGCTGACTCGTGCAAATGTTTTTTGGTTCTTTGGGAAACCTGAAATACTTATGCTTCCTTCAATATATCCTCCAGTTTTTCTTCCAGCCAAGACATCCATTAAGGTAGTCTTTCCTGCTCCACTGACACCAACCAATGCTGTTAGAACACCTGGCCTGAAAGCACCACTAACATCTCGTAACAGTTGCAGTCTTTCATCGTTAACCCCTTGAGTCTTCATTTCCTGATATAAAACAATTTCTCCAAGTTAGTAAACTCGTCATAGATGGAGCATATACAGTATGAATAAAGGTTTGGAGACTCACAGCTGGCATATCAACGTAGTAATTCACATGGTTGAACGCAAGTGAGAGGGGCTCGAAAGGCAACACCATCCCTTTTCTTGCTGCGTTGTTTTCTGTTCCAACACTTCCATGAGGATTTCTCACGCTCATTTGAACACCTGCAGTTATCGTTATATATCAGATGAATAAAGGTATGACGCAAATACTTCTTTGATGCAAAAATTTTAGTTCTTATGATCAAGCAATTATATGTCCCACGACCTTCCGTTAGGTGAGAAAATTAGATTACACGAATAGAAAAAATTGTCTTAAGAAACCACAAACCTTCAGCACTTGATATCAATTGCCGTTTATTCTTCTCTTCTTCTCCATCATCCGTTATGACAGCTTTATTATCCCCTAGAGCTGAATGTTCAACAGGACACAGTTAAGAGATGGACTTATTTATTATTTACCACAGCATAGAATTATAAATATCTAGTATGAATGTTTTACTCACGATTTAAGAATGTCACTGCAGCGATGAACAGAATGTTGAGCAGAATAGAGTATCCAAAAAGAGCGAAAATGCAAATCCAGTACCATGACTCTGTTGTAAATAAACCTCGGTCTCGAAGAAGAGTCTTTCCAACAGTGTTTTCACGTCCTACAGTTGCCTGTACAAAGAGATAAGTATGGAAAACAAACATTAATATTGTATTTTTTGCTTTCAAATTGGCATGTGGAGATAAGAATCAAGAGATCTTACGTCACTCCATCTCTCAGAAAGAAACTCATTGATGGCAATGGCATTTTGTCCATACATCATAGGAGAAACATAATATCCCCATATCATCCAATCTTGAATATCATCTGTGAAATGCAAAATGGAGAATAAATGAAGTTTTTACAACTCAAATTAAATGAAATAATTCTGCACTGAATAAAACTATGGACATCAGTCTGGCTAAGCCTTAAATAAGAAAAAGTACTTGTTTGGAAAGTAAGTAAAGACTTGCTTCCACAAAAGTAAACTTTTATACTAAAATCCTCCCCAAAATGTAACTTCAAAAAAAAAAAAAAAAATCTTAAACATGTTTAGCAAAAAAGATTACTTAAACTTAACATAGTGAATAAAAGAATGAACTATGGACCTTTTGCTACAACGAAGCCTCCAAGTACGAACACCATCAACAAGGTGAAAGTTCCTAGTGTGTTTGCAATCACTTCAGTTCTCCCAAGTGCTGCAATGAAACGGAACAAAGCAAGCGCCATCTGATTTACACCAATAAATGCCAACAATTGTTTGAAAAACCTGCATGAGTATAGATAATTCAT